CAGTTTGAGGACAGTACACAACATAAGCAGTCAAAGCACTTTTCCTCAGATAGAGGTATATGCTATGCCGGGAGGTCAGGGGAGTAAGGTCAGAGAGCCTGTGCAGGTTCAAGCATGTCAGTGATTTATGGAACGGGGTAGAGTTGGGATTTTCAACTAAGTGCAAAGAGGACCTTTGGAGGGTTTTAAGCAGAGAAGACATGATTTGAATTCCGTTTCTGAAAGACCACTCTGTCAGTTGTGTGGAGAAGGAATTAAGGAGGAGGAGAAGAATGGAAGCAGGGGCACCTGGGAGGAGACCCCTGGTTGTGACAGGTGAGATGTGGTGGACAGATCTGGGGAAAGTTCGGGCAGCAGAGGTGCTGCTAGACAAGAAGGAACAGATGAGAGAACGGCGGGAGGGTGGCTCCCACCTCCAAGGAACGCTTGAACCAGGAATTCGGGTTTTAAGTGGGAGGTTGGAGATAAAGGTCTCTGAAGGCCCCTTCAACCCTGAAGTTGTGTCATGTTGTGGTAAATTTCAGGTGTGGCCAATCTAGATCCTCCATTTAATCTTTCTGCTAATGCAGGAGCACTTGGTGAGCACCGGCATTGATGTGGGGACGAGAGAGGGCACCGGGTCTCTGAAGGCAGAGACGTCCTACTGCTTTCCTCACTCCTGTACTTCCAGTGCCTGTGACCGTGCCTGGCGAATAACTAGTCTTCGGTGAGCGAACGAATAAAAAGATGAGAAGTGTATACATTGTTTACACCTGTAGTTGGCATTCAAACTCATTCATTCCTGGGGCGCCTGGGGGGCTCAGTCGGTTGGGCGTCCGACTTTGGCTCAGGTCATGATCTCGCAGTCCATGAGTTCGAGCCCCGCATCGGGCTCTGGGCTGACAGCTCAGAGCCTGGAGCCTGTTTCGGATTCTGTGTCTCCCTCTCTCTCTGACCCTCCCCTGCTCATGCTCTGTCTCTGTCTCAAAAATAAATAAATGTTAAAAAAAAATAAAAAAAAACCTAATTCATTCCTATTCAATCCACCTTGCTCTTACTGCGATGTAAGAGTTGTACTTGGCATCAACATAAAGAATAAATAGCTGCTTACTTACGTGTGTAGGTTTTCGAAGAATAGCAGTTGAGGTGGGTCAGAATGCTCTCCTCTCTCAAACTCATGGGTCTTGAACTTGTCTTTTCTCGTACACATATGCCACGTCTTCCAAATGAAGAAATGCTATAAAAACAGAAACAAATAACAAGCTGACATTCAGCAAAACCACTTGAATAGTGTTTGTGCTTGAAGGACATGTGTGCTATATGGACACTAGGGAAGGTTTTCGCCAAATTGTACTGTTAGCCATAGAGCCCAGCTCTGAGCAGGCCCTCAGTAAATGTCAGTGGATTCCCAAAGTCTAAGTTCATTGAGGGCGAGAACATGTATCAAGTGTGGTTCTTCAGTCTACCTGGAAGAGATTCAGCTCCGCTTAGGAAGTCCCCTGTTCTTATGATTCTCATTGGAATTAGACTATCACATCAAAATCTCCACATACCTGCCTTCAAATCATTCTAGATAAATTGCTTCCTGGCTTTTTGTTTTTGGTTTTGGTTTTGTTTTCATTCAATGTATAACTACCTGGTAGGTTCTAAAGACCCAACAGTGACCCCTCTAGGGGTTTTCTCTGCCTGCTCTTCCCTTTCCCTCCTATCACTCTTTGGACTGTTTCCTTTGTTTTACCTAATTCACAGAGTTGATTGCCCCTCTTGTATCATGAGGCAGACGGAAAAACAATGATGAGGACCCAACACTAACTGGAACCTGCAACAAACAGAAGTTGTTGCCAAGGCAACCCAACCAGAGATTCCTGCATCCAGCCATCACAGGGTGGGGGGGAGTTTGGGATGAGATCACTTGAGGGGCAGGGGGACCTTTCAGGAAAAAAGCTGACCTGATAAAGGAACCAAGCAGTTGTCATTCCAAGTGATGTCTTTTTCCTTTTTCCCTTTCTCAATAAAGAGAAGAACTTGCAAAAGCCTTGAAAGATAAGCAGGCTGAGTAAACTAGGTGGGATTTCAAAGGCTCCTGTTCAATTAATCTGACTGCAGCTAGATCAGAACAGCTGTGCTCCTGGGTACAAGCAGAGGGGAGACATTAGGGCAAGGAAACAGAAGGAAAGGGGACAAGGCATTAAACACACTTCTGAACCACTGTGTACGCTATAATAGGAGTGATCGCCTTTATTTATACAATGCCTTTTGTCCAGGATCCTGCGAGCACAGCACAGACATTACCTCCCTGGGCTTCCAAACACCTCTGTGAGCTTAGGATCAAGGACAGGGATTATTTTACAGATGGGAAAACTGGCACTCAAAAACCGCGTATGTGCCAAGACCCCTTCACAAGATAGCGGCACAGCCAGAAACAGGATGCAGGTAAAAATAACGACAATCATTTTTTTTTTTAATTGCTTCTTAACATCGTCCCTGCTGGATCGAGATCTATTTCACAAAATTGACTTTAAAGGGCCAAAGTCTCTTCCCTCCCTATCCCGGTGAGGCTGCATGCTCAGAATGTAGTTGTTTAAGCCCCTGACACATGGACTGAAGGGGGTCCCCGATGGGCTTGTGGACTCCAGTCGTCACATTAAAATGCTCCTGGACAGCGGTGCAACCGCACTAGACCTCATTCTCCTGCCCTTTTAGGGGATTCATTTTGGCACCTTTCTGCCCTGTGCATTCTCAAACTGGGAATCTTCATCAATCAAACAAATGTTTATTGATTGCCTACCATGTTCAGCCCTGGTGCTATGAATGAATAGCAAATGTTACCTATAGTACTTACCTGCAAAAACGATCGTGTATACCACAGAGCCTTCTACAGAAGATGGAAGGGAAACACAGAGGAAACAAGGAATAAAGGAACAGAAAATGAACTGTTAAGATACCACAGACCAAATGGTGGTAGCAGGTGTGGCACGATTCTGAGAAAAGCACAGTATGGTGACCTGAAGTCAGAGGAGGCTTGACCAAGGAAGGCCTCTTGAGCCACTTGCTAGAGATTTGGTCTGTGAGCGGAAGGAGGTGGTGCCTCTATGAAACAGACCTCCACACACCCCCTCTACACGTGCTCCACAGATAAGGACCTAGCATGCTATACTGTGAATATTTTTTGATTTACCCTGGCAACCTAACTCCTTCCTTGGACTGGGTCCTCCTGAGCAGAGACCGTGCTCTATTCTTCTCTGTATCCCGGTGCTTAGCTCTGTGCCTGGCACATAGTAGGTGATCAGTAAACCTATGATAAGTGAGTAGATGGGTGAATCAGTGAATCAAAAATGTCCTGATGACAATAGCAACAACAATGATATCTAATGCTAGTTTTCATTTGGCAAGAATTCACAGCTAATGTTAAATAAATAAATGATAATTCTAAGTTCCCACAGAGTACAGTAGGCTGTGATTTGGGAGGCGGTTGGATCTTGGCTCAGCCACTTACTATCCTTATGGCCTTAGGACAAGGCTCCAGATCTCTGTTTCTTCACTTATAAAATATGAACCAAATAATTATATTTACCTCACTGGTTGTGGTAAGGTTGAGATTAAATAATGCATGCAAAAATGCTTTGTAAAGTGTAAATCAGCATACGAGTCCCAGTCATTATTGCCATCAATAGCGTAATTTAGCATACCATTAATTTATGTCACCCATTACATACATTTCCCACCGAAGTACTCTTGTAAATCATAGGCCTTTTAAGGCTGAAATGTCCTAATCTGAAGATAAATAAGGCAAAGTTGACATAAAATAATTTCTCCCAAGGTCCAACAGGCAGGACTAGAGCTAGTCTAGTCTAGCAGACTCCTGACCTGTGCTCCCTCCACAAAGCAGCTCTGAGAAGCCCCCCTGAGCAGATTAGTCTCATAAAGACGGAAACTAAGTGGCTGCCTTTCTCCCTTCTTTGTTCTCATCATTCAGTGTCACCACATCAAAACAGAACTGGACACATTCCTGCAGTCACTTCTCGTCTCTACCCTCACTCAAGGCCAGATGCTACATCTCCTTCCTGAAGCTGTGGCAACACGTGGCCAGCCTCCCAGCTCCAGTCCTACTCCCCACCTCCCATCTGGGCTCTGATGTTAAGTCATCTTTCTCAAGCACCATGTGAGCCCATCTCAGACACTTCAAAAGCCTCCGGTTGCTTCTTTTCCTAAAAGCCCCCTTCATGAGGTTTGAACCTCTTAACACAGCCCTTCCCACTCTCACAGAGCCTCTTGGTTGGAGGCTGGGATGACTTCCGTTATCACTATCTACCAAGCCCCTACTAGATCCTCGGTACAAATTTATTAAACTAGAAGAATCATAACAAACCCTATGACATAACCACCCTCCCAGATTCCCCTCTCAGTTGTGACACACAAGCTCACAAATCCCTAGCCAAGCCTTCCTTCCATGCACAGATTCCATGGAACAGATTCCATGACACTTGAGAGAAGCAGCACCTCCAGGAGGGTGCTCATTCATGATATTAACCTTCTTCTCCCTTCTTGTCCATCAGCAGCTGTCCCTCGTTCACGGTCCCCACCCACTTTTCCTTAGCCAGTCAGCAGGAATCCCCTCACCTACCAACCCCACACACATACTCCCACTACCCCTTTGTACTTTGCACAATATACTTGCCATTATCCCCACACAACCACCCGCTCTGGTCTCCTTCAGCAAACCAGGCTCTTTTCCCATTTAGAACTGTGCCCAGAAGGAGGGGCCCTGCCAGACACCCTCACCGTATCTTCTTCCACGTGGTCTCTTTCAAAATGGGATTCTCTTCAGCAGCAGCCAATTAGTACAGAATGTCTGTTGTAGACAGCTCTTAGCATTAAGTGCCAAAAAAGCTACATGGTGTGTGTTTTAGTCTCTGCCTTTGGGGACCTTATGATATAGTTGGTGATACAAGAAATATGCAGAAAATAGTTACGTGGCTTCCAAGGTCCTTACATCTGCAGGCATTTCTCTCCCCCCCTTCCATGTGATTTATTTATTCGGCTTGAGCCAGCTGCCGACTGGTTATTTTCATGTCTGTGTCCTTTTTGCACTGTGCTTGTTTATGAAGGTTTCTCTGAGTGTGTCACTTATGCTCAGAGGTATTTCTGTACATATTTTTTTTTATGTATGCCCAAGCCCTCCCAGAACATAAGCTGGAGGGAGGGTTGTGGTAATTAGGTCCTTTCTATCACACCACAGACTGTTACATGCAGTGGCTTTCAGGAAATACTAGTGACAGAGGCTGGCTGAAAGAGGTCATCTGGCTCAGTTGTTACTGTCACACACACACACACACACACACATTTGGAAGTAGACTCAGAATCACAGTGCTACCTCTTCCAGAGGAATGTTAATCAACCCACATCACCTTCCTAGTGATCAAGGGACTCTCTAACTTAACATGACATCAGATGAGAAGTGACTAAGTATGCAACCAGATGCCCAGGGTCACAAAAATTGCCAGATCACTCATACTGCACTGGCAACACAATTTTACCAAGTACCTCAGGGAATCACTTTCTCCAACCCCTTCTAAATTCAAAATATGCTGTTTCTTCTATGCTTTCCTCATGTAACATATGCTACCTCTTCCTGTTGATTCATTCATTCATTTGCAAATACTTGTTGAGCATCTCTCTATGCTGGTAATAAAACAGTGTGCCAATCAGTCTCTGCTCTTAAAGAGCTTACTGTCTAGTGACAAAACAAGCAGAAATGTAGGAAATCACAGAGTGATAAAGGTCAGAGAAGGCTTTGGTGAATGTCGATAAGAGAATTACCTAACTCAGAAAAGGCAGATTTCCTCAAGAAAGTAACCTGGAAGTTTGACCTATGGATGAGTAGGTCTCAGGCAAGATGTAGGAGGAAGGAGGGAAGTGTCTACAGATGTGAGCACCTTGGAAGCCACATAACTATTTTACGCGTATTTCTTTGTATCACCAACTAAATCATAAGGCCCCTGAATACGGATTAAAACTTATATACCATGTCACTCTCTTGGCATCTAAAACTAACACCTGTCTATAGCAGTCATTCAATACCTACTGGCTGTTGCTTTAGAAAACCCTATTTTGATGTATTGGAGCTCTCCAATTCTGAGGAAAAGCACTAGCCCTCAAGTGAGGTATCTCACCATCCCACGTGGCTTAGTTGACAAAAAGGTGGTTGTAACATGCATCTGATGGGGAGTACTGTCATCCTTTCTTCCTCAGAGAGTTTAGAAAAAAACGAGACTCCCCCACACCCCAGTCTTCTTCTGTCATGAGGTGGTGAGAGCTGGGAAGTCTAGAAATATTGGCAAGTAAGAGGAGCCATGGTTGAAGATTTTCTGGAGAGCCTCTGTTGTCCGGTCATTTAGAAACCTTGTTCAGAATCACCCCTGCTATGGACTTCTTGTTCTCATGATGCGGGAAACAAGGTAGGGTGGGGTGTTCACATTCAGGTAGGCACCTCCTCTGTGATCACCCCCGATGCGGGCAAACAGCCCAGTGAGGAGTAAAGAGATGTCAGGAAGGTATCAGAATCCCACCCTTTTTCTCCCCACTCAGCCCTACCTGGCTCTTTACCAAGTCGGGCCGGAAGCACTGCCCGGGAGACGAGACTCCCAACCACCCAGGGCAAAGAATTCAGATGATTTACTCACATGCCGATGACACAAACCTTGGAGAACATAGATTTTTAAAACGCATGACTTTTCTGAAAATGCCTGGATAGTGTGAGCTGCAAATAACTAATACTCAGCAAGTAAAACATGCTATCTGAACAGTAGGATTTTGGCTCTTAGGAGATTCTACCCATAAGTCTCCCAAGGCAAGATTCTTTGCAAAGTCATCTTCAGCTAAATTAGGAAATCTATTGAGAGAAATGGGAAATATATATATATATATATATATATATAGAGAGAGAGAGAGAGAGAGAGAGAGAGAGAGAGAGAGAGACTGACTGACTCCTGGCAAGAGGCAGGAGTAGGACAGCTTTCTTGTCTCCCTTTCAGGAATGTGGGCTCTTGATACTGTGCTTACCACGAGGCTGGTATGTCACAGAGTCATTACAGAACATGGCAAACCATGAGATGAGAATTAAAACAAAAACCAAACCAAAACAAAAAAAGGGCAATGAAAAAAAAGGGAGCAAAGGGCATTTAGAAAACAGATAAAATACAGACTAGAAAATAAAAGACCAGAAACTTTAAAATGAGTTAGAGACAAGTGAAAGCAGTAAGACAAAGGCAAGAGTTAAACGTTAGGCTAAAGATTTCACATGATTAAGAGTTGAAAAATAAGGCCGGGCAAACCGGTGAGAAAACAAAGGGAAGCTCAGAGCTATCAAGGTGAGAGATTAAAATGTGGAAGTTAAAAGATGCAAGGTTATGATAGAACTAAAATCCAAAGATAAGTTTAGAGCTGGGGGAAGTGGGGCTGGGAATAGAAAGAACAAGGGTAGGGGGTGGGGAGGAGAGGGCAGAGACAGAGAGAGAGCAGAGGAGAGAAGAAAGGCGGGCACTGGGGGAGGAAGGTAAGAGGGGAGGCCCTCAGCTCCTGCTGCACAGTGGAGACAATGTGTCCAGGCTTTCTCCCTTGGCCTCTTTTCCCAGAGGAAAAGCTCTGCTTGGGCCTCCTTCCCCAACTCCTTGTGGCCATCAGCCCTGCGTAAGGGCGCAGACTGAGAGTCAGAAATCTGGTGGTCAGGCCCCCACGCTGACTACTTCTATCAACCCCCTAACCCTTCTGGCGTTCACCACCATGTCTGAAGTAGAAAAGTTATCAGTAGCTAAATTGTACCCAGCCCATCAAAGACAGCCCCGGGCCAAGGGATGCTGCGGGGTAGAGGCACTGGGACCTCCCTAGGTCCTGTCTCCTAGAGTCCCAGCTCTTTGCTCCCCTTTTGTTCTTGCTCCTCTTACCTCCACAGACCGATTTGGTTTGTCTCATTATCCCTCAGTGCCCTCCCTCCATTTGACCTTGTTTTGGGATCATTAAATGAACCCAACGTCTTTCTGGTTCTCTAGGGCGACTCCGGACTTCCCAGCGTGGATCTTAATTCTGCATAATGCTGGGCACGGCAGCTCCGTTTCTTCTAATGGTAACAAACTCGGATTCTAATTCCAACCAGCTGTCTTAGAGCACTGGCCACAAGGGAGATCAGGAGAATATGTGTGTTTGGTTCTACATAAACCCATCCTGACTGCTAGAAAAACAGAGCATGCTGTTCCTATGTGAGGGGCAGCCCAATTCATTTTCTAAAATCAAGACACTTTGGGGGAAAGCAAATCTCATATTTCTCTTGTTCTTTGCCCTCAACTAATTCTTTGAAGTGTAAAGACAGCACCATGGGAGGAATATATCCTGGTGTTACTACCACAGAGAAATCCTGGGAAGTGAGAGGTTTTTGTTAGCATTGAGATGATGTCCATTCAAAGCTGTCATGCCTGACATTGCTTCCTGTCTCTTCACCTTAATAATGAGTTCCCAGGTATCAAGTGAAGGCTCCCTGAGTAGTGCAACAGGAGAAGCATACATCTGCGGTGCTGCAAGTGACAACAGGGACCAATTTTCATGCTGCTTAAAGCACAAGATATGCCACTCTTATAGCACAGCAGCTCACAAAATCTCCACACGGCGATGATGCTAGAGAAGCGTATCCACTCTGAAGTATCAGATCTTCCTCTTGATCAACTAAACCTGCAGACAGAGCAACTAATTGGGTCCCACGTGCTGGATGCAGAGGGACCTTAAAACTTTTTTTTTTTTCCCCAGAGTGACTTGAGGGTGGAGAACACAGTACAATTTAATGTAGACAACTGTGAAGTGTTGTCGTAGGGCAGGGAATCCATGGAGTGAGCCCAGTGTGTATGTTAAGTGAAACCGAAGAGCTCCAGAGTGGGTCAGGCAAGCCCTGTGAATGACTTGGCTTGGCTAGCTAGGATACCATAGCATCCTCTTGATAAATGTGACCTCCTCTGAAGATCTAGGTCAAGGTAAGGGGAGGGAATGTCTTTTGTTGGTTAATCCCAGTGCTATTCATTTCCCCTGCGGCTGGATTAGTGTCCTTTCAAAGAAAGAGCTAGGAAAACAGTAATCAGTGTGTCAGGTTATCAATTGAGGGCTCACAGCTTACCATTCAACCGAAAAAGCAGAGGAGGACTTAGGTAGGAATGTAGTCTCTTCTAAAATCCCCAGACTTTCCTTTATCCACAAGCACGTTCCCCCCAAAAACTTTCAGAACAGCACGCACACCCTCAGACATTTAGAAGGCTTACACCATTGCCTGATGTGGATGTTATTTGAGATACAGCTCTATAAAAGTCTATAATGATAAGTAATGAGTCTCATTATTCATTTGGGTTTGGCACACATGAAGCTGACACATGTCAGGTGTTTAACCACTCCTCCCTTCTCCTTTCAGGATTTTCTCCAGGTAGAATTTAGAGCGATGTCTCAGCCTTCTTGGTGACTGAGGAATCCAACTCTGTTCTGTCTCGTTTTATGGAAGCAGTGCTGGGATGCCTGAGTAGCTCAGTCGGTTGAGCGTCTGACTTCAGCTCAGGTCATGATCTCGCAGTTCACGAGTAGAGGCCCTGAGTCAGGCTCTGTGCTGACAGCTCAGAGCCTGGAGCCTGATTGGGATTCTGTCTCCCCCTCTGCTCACACTCTGTCTCTCTCTCAAAAATAAATTTAAAAAAAAAATTTAAAAATTAAAAAAAAAAAAAAGCAGTGTAGAGCTCAATATGATTCACCTCCCATCCTCTCAAACTTCAGCTTGGTCACATCCCTAGATTCTGTTGACAAAACTTCCTTGAAACTCCTTTTCTGTGGATACGAGAATAGTCAATGAATGACTTCAGCATCTGTGTTTTCAGGATTTTGTGAACATGCGCTCAACCTTTCACATCTTCTTGTGTTATGAATTACTTCATGCATTTTGACTCACACTCCTTCTGAAACAGCACCTGAATTCATTTTCTTCATGAATCTTCTCTCTGTTGGAAACACTAAAGGCTTTACCGTTCTCCTCATAGGCCCAAGTACATGTTCCTTCCATAGAAGGACTTTTCTACCAGCAGAAATAAATCTCCTAGTATCATCTTAGCACAAATATTTTATTTTATTTCATTTTATTTATATTTTTTAATGAAATTTATTGTCAAATTGGTTTCCATACAACACCCAGTGCTCATCTAAACAGGTACCCTCCTCAATGCCCATCACCCACTTTCCCCTTCCCCAACCCCCCATCAACCCTCCGTTTGTTCTCAGTATTTAAAAGTCTCTATGATCGGCCTCCTTCCCTCTCTGTAACTTTTTTTCCCCCCATCCCTCCCCTCTGGTCTTCTGTTGAGTTTCTCAGAATCCACATATGAGTGAAAACATATGGTATCTGTCTTTCTTTGCCCGACTTATTTCACTTAGCACAATACCCTCCAGTTCCATCCATGTTGCTACAAATGGCCAGATTTCATTCTTTCTCATTGCCAGTAGTATTCCACTGCATATATAAACCACATCTTCTTTATCCATTCGTCGGTTGATGGGCATTTGGGCTCTTTCCATAATTTGGCTATTGTTGAGAGTGCTGCTATAAACATTGGGGTACAAGTGCCCCTATGCATCAGCACTCCTATATCCCTTGGGTAAATTCCTAGAAGTTAGCACAAATATTTTAATAACCCAGTTTCTTTTAATACCTACTGAACCAATGGTAGTAAGATGAAGACAGAGGATCCTCAACCCACAAAGGTAATTACGATTTGGGGAGAATCACTAAATATGATAAAATTGTAAAAACCAAAAACAAACAAAATCTGTGAAGATGGAGTAAAATGTTCAGACTGCGTGAGCATTACCTCCAACTCTTCTTTTTACTCTCAGTGTTCTTGGTAAGTCACACTGACAATGAGTAATAGGAAGAAAAAGAGTTAGGTTGAATTGAGGATAGCAAGAAGTTCAGGATCCCACAGCGAGTGACAAGAGGAACAAGAGATGATCATTTTTAAGATACCACCCATTGGAATATACCAATGATGTATGTTATTTTTAAAAAATAAAGAAAAGAGTCAAGTGACTCAATTTTCTTTTACTAGTAGGAATTCAGCTAGAGTAGCTGTGCAGGATGGGGACATTTATTTTATTTTCAGATGCACATATTATGAAAACAGTCCACATGAGAGCCATGAATGTTACCGGAATTCTTAAAGGAGCTATCAGAGAGAATGGGCTCTGGAGCTGGGTAACAGATACGTATGTCCTTCTAGCGGCGTCACTAAGGAACGACGTGATCAGGACTGAAGTTGTGCACGCAGATTGCCTACACAACCGTATGTAAACTGAATGTCTCAGTGCTCCAGTATTGCCTGCCTGCCTTAAATCACCATTTCCTAGGTGCCTA